TGAGATCAAGGGCGAATAGGGAGTGGTTTGAATGGACGGCCGATAGTGAACCCTTCGATCGTGCACCGTTCGTTGGACATTTGGAGGCCTTAATGATGTCGGAATTCAGCGATCTTGGGCTCGTTGGATTTGTCTCATCGAGCCGTTCGATTCGAGTATAAGCTCGTCAAAATCGGAGACCATTTGGTAACTCAAATTGCTGTTTGAACCTTCCTAAAGCACTTTGAGCCATTGATTTGGACTCATTTGGGCTCGGATTGGGTTGAACTTGGTGTCGTCGGGTTTGTATTTCCGAGACGCTCAGTTTGACTGTAAGCTCGCTGAAATCGGAGTTCAGATGATCTCCGAATTAATTTTTAAAATTTTCGACTAGCTTTTGTTTCGAGATTCGTGCCCCATCAATATAATTTTGCATGACGTATCAATATATATATATATGCTGATCAATATTTGGCGTCATATTTCTCGAAATTTGGAATCTTCGATATTGAGATTTCGATTGGATCATTGGAGCAATCGGCGGCAAAGGCCAAAGGGTGAAAGGATCTAGCGGCGGTTAATCTGTTGATATCTTCTCCTCTCCGCTGCTCCACCTGCCTAATCGTCGCTTCTATATGTCGGAACCCTATCCCGACGATCTCGACCAACTTCTCGACAGTACGATTCGCCTATTCTATCCTTTCTCTTTAACATGATGTGTTATAATTTTATTAGCTCACAGCACTTGTTTTTCCTTCCAGATGCTTTGGATGATTTTGCAAAGCTTGATCTCGCTCCCACTCAGAGGTGTTTCTCTTTTTTCCTTATGTCCATTATCAAATTGTCGATTTTCTGTTAATTATATGTATGCTATTTTTCCGTTCGACAGAGGAAGCGGCGGAGGCGGAGAAGGAAAGGAAGGAGGAGGAGATGTGTTGGCATCGCCTCCTTCATCGTCATCCTCATCGTCATCGGCTTCAGTGAGGGGGTTGGGGATGGGTCTGCCTGATTTGAGGGCTAGAAAGCAGGGGAAGCAGCAAACGTCTCTTCCTCCGAAGAAATCTCACGCGACCGAAGCGTTAGAGAAGCTTACACAGCAGACCCGCGAGGCTGTTCGGGAGCTGGAATCAGTAACGGCTGCTGCTGCAGCAGGGTCAAGAGGAACTGGTGGGTTTGACGAGGAGGGCATGGTTGAAGACTTCGTCAAGCAGTTCGAAGAGCTTGCTGGCTCGCAGGTTTCTCTTTGTCTTTCTGCATGTGTTTTTATTTGTGTTCTTTTTCCTTTTTGTGATCCACCTGCCAATCGCCTTAATCTATATGGAATGGGAGTTTCTAGGCACTCCATTAACTAGCAATCATGCCCTTTTTTGTTTTTTTGTTTTGTATTTAATTCATTTTACAATTATTTTGAATAACAGTATGCTTTGAGCTTTTGAGATCGAAGGAATTCCATGGGGGAAACTAAACTAGGGAGTCTGGATGTTATTAACATTTTGCTGCTATTGTAACTTTGAAGATTGCTTTGAATTATCCAACCTTGACATTTTGGCCTTTTCGGTGAATTTACACTAATTTTGGCGTTAAGGGTTGTGGAATCAATTCTTGTGATGTTATAGGAATTATTATGGCTAGAGAATATAGAGTGCGATGGGTTTTTGGAGCAGATTTTTTTCCTGTATGATTTTATTTTGTGTTGACGATGAGCGTAAAACTTGTCAGACAGTTATGACTTGGAGTTATTTAATACATTGCGTAATTATTTTACTTTGCCTTTTTTTGGTTGGGGGAGGGCAAGTGGTGGTAGGTGCTTTGGCAGCAAACAAACATAAGTGTGCTTGTGCATATGCTCGGGAGTATTAATGTTTCATAAGATAAAGTGATATCAGCGCATCAGCGCCTTTGTGAAGATTAATTATTATGTGCTGACGTTGAACACCGTCCGGAGACTAAGTAGAATGCTCCACGTCATCCTGTACTCGGTACCGCTTGTTGCCGAGGCTTTGTACCGCTCGTTACCGCATTTGGGTACAGCTGATGTGGCGCATTCTGGTTGATCTCCGGACGGCGTTTTGCGTTCGGTCTCTGCACAGAATAACTTCTCCTTTGTGAAAGGGTTGAAAGTAGTTTAAGTTGAAGATTCTTATTTGAAGTGTGTTGATAGTTAGGGGCCTATTTGGTTTTTTTAAGTGAAATAGGTACGAAGCAAAATATTTGTTTGAATCTTTAATTTATTGAGTGTAATTTTGCGGTAAACTTTTAAGTTTTGTTTAGGTTGTAATAAGCATGTGATGGGGTAGCCTTGAATTTTACATGGGTTAACTAGTTAGGTTTTACTGGATTAAGAATATCAACATTGAATTTATATATAGTATCTCATGGATCTGATATCTTGACATACTTACTTTTTTAGGGAAAACTACTTGTGATTTATTTTTATGATTCAGTCTTTATTTTTTTATCAATGCATGCTATAGGTAAGTTCTACAAATATCATAGATTGGCTTAGGCGCTATTCAGCCAACAAATAATAATATATGTCCTTTTGTTAACTTTCATCAATCCTTTCCTACTTGATTTAGAATAACACTTGTCTTAGGCGCTATTCTGCCAACTGTTGATTTTTCTTGTATGTTAAAGTTGAGCATTACATCTATTTTATAAAACTGTTGATTTCTATTGTAAAGTATTGTTTGAAAGAAATATTATCTACCAGATATAGGCATGCTTTTCCTCTATAAGCATTTTTACTTATGTGCAATACTGTCACTTTTGGGAACTGTTTTTATAAAGTATAATTTTATATCTATGCGGCTTTCTCTTTTCTTCTATGAGATTCCTAGTTTATTGTTTGACCCAAATTCTTTTGTGTTTATTTGATTTAGTTAGTTAGCACAATTAGATAGAAATGATGTATAGCTAATGCTATTTTTTCTATTTACAGGATATGGAATCCATTGTAGAAACCATGATGCAGCAGCTTTTGTCAAAGGATATTCTCCAGGAGCCCATGAAGGAAATCGGAGAAAGATATCCTAAGTGGTTGCAAGAGCATAAAGATAGGCTAAGCAAGGAAGAATTTGATCGCTATTCTCGCCAACATGAGCTGATATTAAAGCTTAATGAAGCTTATGAAGAAGATCCTGATAACTTCAATAAAATAGTTGATATCATGCAGAAAATGCAAGAATGTGGCCAACCCCCAAGTGATATTGTTGATGAGCTTGCTCCTGGTCTTGATATAAATAATCTCAGCCAATTGTGAGTCTCCCATTCTTGCTTATGAAACGTAATAATCTGAATTCAATAAAAAAGTTTAAATTATTATCCATAACGTTACGCTGTATTTCTGATAATGTATAATTTTTTTAAACTAGTATTTTTAGTGCTAGTTTTCGTAATAAAAATCAATCTATAAATCCTATGTTATGCTATCTCATTTCATTTTTAAGCATGCAAAATATTTTGACAATGCCATTCTTTTTGTGGTGGGCTAGTACATTATGACTGTGAAATGAACTGTACAATATTAGCATTGTAGGTATTGTAGTATCACTGCTATCATTAGAAAACCTCTTACATAATATCATGCATGGAACTTAAAATTTTGATTAGCTTAGTATTACTTGTTTGTTCAGTTCCTGTGGCCACCATCATTTATGGCATTTTTCTTGTAATAGTTTATTGGATTGCAAATCTGCATTAGCTACTTGCAACAACACAAAATAATGAATGCCTTTTATTGCAATAATAATTTTTTGGATATACAACACTTGCCCAACTTGACACTTTATAGTTGTAAAAGAGGTGATGATTGATTTTATTTCGTGGTTAGTGCTATTCAGCGCTAAAATCAGATAAAATTTTTATTTCCAAGATTTATTACATCTTACTGTTGATTATATTATTAGTCGAATGTACTATTTTTCTTTGGGCTTTAGAAGCTTGACATAAGAAGCAAATTTTATGAAACGGGGATTGTGAAGATATGTGATGATTAAAATAAGAATTGTACCTCAAAACCTGCTGATCTCAAATGAGTAGTGTAATGGATTGTGTTTTTTTAAGAGTTGCATGGGAAAAAAGATGTTGAGGAGGCACATGAAAAAAAAAATTTAGTAGACAAATAAAGGGGAGTAGAGAAAGAGGAAAAGGGAGGAGATTTGGGCTTCTTTCTCTCTTTTCCGTAAAATCAAGGTTCTTCATCGTTTCGGTCAATATTTGCTACTATTTTGCAGGATAATAAAGGCATATTTAAATCTTTAAGGGTTTGTTTGGTTCAGTTCTGTTTTATTATTGCTTCCTATTTTTAAGCAAGATAAATTTTTCTTATAAACTGTTTAGCTACATAGTTCTGTTGAAAATACTTTTTTTAGAATTCCATTTTGGTATCGTTTCAGAAAACTATTGCTTAGATCCTTTCCACGGTTGCTCTTGTTTTGATCAAAGGAAAAGTACAAATTACCCACACCTTCTCACATCTCATGATCATGTTTCCTGATCAAAGGAAAAGAATGTTTTGATCTTATGATGTTTGACAAATTCGCAAGTGTCACACTAAAGATTTTAAACATTAATGTTTTGGAAAAATGAAGGAAACATTCTTTTAAGTTTTGGAAAAAAACAAATACATAAGTAATATTGATGTTTCTTAAACATAAAAGATAGAAATAAATTGTTTCAACCATTCTTTCTTTCAAGTAGATATGGAATATTCTTTGCTCTAGCTTGCCTAATCACCTTTCTCATAGTTTCTCATAGTTTGGTCCTGAAAAGGAAAATGATCAACAAAGAAGGACATTCAAATGTTTTTGCTTTTTGATTAATTTATGAATGGGCAATCGATCGAGAATAAGGTTAGAAATATGCAGGATACTTTTTAGGATAAGAGAGGGAGAAAGGGATTGTTCTTGTCCTATAATCATCATAATTTTTCTTACTAGGACATGTTAATTAGCTTTCAAATGAATATGCATAGATTGTCATGTAGGACACTTTTTAATAGATGTAGATTTATAGAGAAAACAACTTTTTTTTAAAGCTATTGTGGGTATAATAAATTTTTACTTTTGAAAAAATTGGATAATAGCTTTCTTACAACTAGCACACTGGTATATATGATTATAAAAAGAAGTTTCTCATTGTTAAAAAATTCAAAAAAAACAACAATAAAGAAATAGTTAAATAGTAGCGTGATAGTAGTCTGGAAAGTAAAGTAATAAAAAAGCTGTCCCAAACAGACCTTAAGTTACTACCAAGGTTATCGAAATCACCAGCAAAGCTATCTTTACCATTATGAGGTCCTTGTTTATTATTTCCAAGTTTCCCACATAATACACATAAGGTCTGTTTGGGATAGCTTTCTTATGGGTTTTTCTTTTTCAATCATTTGCTCCACTTCTGTTTAGCTCCTTCTTTCTCATTGTTTTTTAGAAATTTCTATGATGGGAAGATATTTTTTTCAACTATATCTATTAAAGTGTAGTAGTTGTAAGAAAGCTAATTTCTGACTTTTAAAAAAGAAAAATATTTATCATTTGCACAATATTTTTCAAATCACCAGCAAAGCTATCTTTACCACCATGAGGTCCTTGTTTATTATTTCCAAGTTTCCCACATAATACACATAAGGTCTGTTTGGAATATCTTTCTTATGAGTTTTTCTTTTTCAATCATTTGCTCCACTTCTGTTTAGCTCCTGCTTTCTCTTTGTTTTTTAGAAATTTCTATGATGGGAAGATATTTTTTTCAACTTTTTTTTGCTATTTTGCTTTTCATATTATTTTCACACATTTTTAACAACTGATTTCTTATTTCTTTTCAAAAATCTCTATGGTGGAAAGCAACTTTTTACAACTATATATATTAGAGTGTGGTAATTATAATAAAGTTGTTGTTCAATTTTCTTTTAAAGAAAATGTTTAAAATATCCATAACAGTTTTAAAAAAATAATTTTCCTCATCTACAAAAAGCTATAACCACCCCAAATCGACCCTTAGGTCTATTAGGGGCAGCTTCTTTATAGCTTTGCTTTTCAAATCCTTGTCACATTGCTGTTTGGCTCAAATTTTCTCGTTGATTTTTAGAAATTTTTTGTGGTGTAATGCTACTCTTTACAATCAGACCTATTAGAGTATAATAGCTGGAGAAAGTTGTTGTCCTATTTTATTAAAAAAGAAAATATTTATGATGCCTTCAACATTTACAAAAAAAGCTATTTTCCTCATAACTACCATACAACCACATTTGCGAAAGGTTGCAAATACCCCAAATGCAGGGAAGGAAATTCTTGGCTTGCCCTGCAACTTTTACTCTTTCAGCTCTTCCTTAAGTGTTGGAGTGATGCTCGAACAATCCTTAGCTTGGTTGTTCTGTGCTGGTTTGAATGCTTTTAATTTTTAACTTCCCTATGTATTGTTTTTGTAAAGCGCGACATTGTTCAGAGGAAGAAAATATTTCTCAGCCAAACTTTCTTTCACGTAGAGTGGGCATCATAAATATTTTGTCCATTTGAGCTATCTGAACGTTGACATTTACTTTGCAATGGACAAAATGAGAGCCGCATGCTTGGTTTGCCATTCATTGAGATCTAAGATCTTTCTAAAGACTGGATTTTAATATCTGGTTAATCTTCCATAGGGAAATTGCAGAAGTTGTTGATGGCAAGTCCTTTTCATGAATTTTTTGAGTTCATCAATAATGCCATACCTCTCATCATTGAACAAAGCTTGTTGGAAATGAGGATCTAGCGGTAGCGGTGTTTTGTGCAGTAGCACTAGTAGGGATCTCATTGGAGATGGTCTTGATTTGGTAGGCATGACGTAGGGCCTCAATCTTGAAGATGATATCCTGGGAGAATTTTTGTCGCTCCCCTGATTAGCTTGTGCTTTGCTGCCTCCTCACCCCCTTTGCCACCTCCTCATCAACTTTTCCATTTCGACAAATTAAGCCTTAAACCTATGCTATAAATTCATGGTGAGAGGGGAGAGTTTATGATGTGAAACATACTTGCAAGGATGATTAACTTAAGGAAGTTTGCACGCTTAAATTTTAGAGCACAATAATTATAAGCTTTCTCTTGATGATAAACGACAAAATAAAAATGATAAAGTGATAAAATAGCTTAGGTCTAAATACATGCGAGAGGTTGAGATCATTAAATAGTCAACTAAGTCTTACTTTGCATACCTGAATGGTTTCAACGAGAAATTCCAATGCTAACAATAAGATTAGGCACGATGCAAGAATCCCTCACTCATCTCTCTAGCTATCTAAGCTTTAGCGAGGAAGAATTAGCATGAACTTTTGTGAATAAACATATAACCACAAGTGATAAGTGAACTAGGAAGATAAGAGAGTTTGGTGGAAGAGTTTACCCACATGAAGCAGAAGACACGAAGCTTTGGTGTCGACGATGGATGTTTCTGCAGTGGGATAGCATTCGGGATCCTTTCACAAGCCTGAGTAGCTCCTAGGAGGGATGGGGAGTCATCGGACAGCGGGGCGTGGACTCCAGGAGGGCTGGACAACAGTTGGGCTGGCTGGACAGCAATGGAGAAGTGCGGAACTCTCTGGACAGCGATCCCGGCAACTTGGACAGCAATTTTCTCAATCTCTGGAGTTCTGGACAGCAGTGTTGATAATGGAAAAGTTCTGGACAGATTATAGAATCCGTCCAGAAATCTGGACAGCAAATTATATGGCTTAGAGAAGCCTTGGACAACTGCTATAGGGTATAAGGAGCTTCAAGACAGCAAATCGTGACTCCCAAAGGTGCTGGACAGCAAGGCATTTTGCTGGAATTGTGTGGACAGCTTGCAGGAATCTCTAGGGAAAGAGAAATCAAAGAGAAGAGGGGTTGGGAGAGGGCGGCTAGGGCTGAGGTGGATTAGGGAATTGATTGGAGGATTAATTTGAGGAAGGAATTGTGTTAATTAAATCCCTAATTCATGGGATGTAATTAATTAAAAGGGGAAGGTTAGGGGGGCCGGCCAAGGAGAGAGGAAGGGAGACGGTTTGGGTATTAAGGAGGTGGGTCCAAGTAATTAAGAGGATTGAATAGTTAAATCTGAATTTATTTAAGATTTAAACTATTTGGAGGTTTCTCTTAATTTATGGGATGATAATTTAAGAATAGTTTGAAATTCAAATTTGAATTTGAACTTAATTCTATTCCTAAATTAGGGGAGCCAAATTAGGAAAGCATTTATGGGAAATTTGAAATCAAAATGTGGGAGGGAAAATAATGAGTCATCCAATTAAATTCCTTTCGAATTTTGAATTCGAAAAACTTCCTTATTTAGACTTTGCAAATAAGGAAAGTTTTTGAATTTCGAATTTTGAATTTCAAAATTCATTAACTCCTTTATTTATTGCTAGGCCACAATCAAGGAGCCATTATGATGATTGACATCTTCATCAGGGCTTGGAGCAAGGTGGTGGCCGGCGGCCAAAAGGAGGAAGAGGGGCTTGCCATTGAGTTTGGGGATTTCTTGATGGAACTTGGGTTATGGTGGAGGAAGCTAATGGGTAACTTGGTGGATGATGGGATCTCGGGTAGGCTTGGCGTGGGGAGGAGGAAAACGAGATTTGGAGGAGAAAACAATAAGATAGAAATAAACCACGAGTCGAGGACGCTTCCAATGACTGACGGGTATTGCTTTTTCCCTCACCTTGGGCTTTCCCTAGAACTCACACAGAGATCTAGGAAAAACGAACTCACTAAGAGATCTTCAAGAGGGAACTCACAAAGAGAACACAAGAGCAAAAATTTTCATTTAATAATCATCAATCCCTTTCCAAGAGGAGGGGGAGGGCTTAAATAGCCAAATACATGAGTGAAAATAAAAAAACACAATTGCCCCTAGGGCAAACATAAAACAAAGCCCTCAAGTGAGGGTAGAAATGGAAAAGTACAAATAACAAATAAAATACATGAAAATAAATAGACACGATCGTAGCCGTTGATCTTCGATGTCCTCATCAGTTTAGGAAGAGAAAAGTGGTGAGAGATGGAGATGGGAGAGAGAATTAGAGAATAGGCCAGTTTGAGCTAGTGTGAGATTCCCGAAAGCCATATGTTTTTTTTCACGCCTAGGAAACACATAAGATGATTAGATATGGGGAATTGGAGCAAGAGATGGGCTCAGAAGCAAAAGGCAATGGGGAATAGTTCTTGGTAGCCGGCCATATGTGCATGGGAAGAAAGAGATCAAGTGTTATGCATAAGATGAGAACTATAACCGACACTTAAAGTAGCTCTCTTGCATGTATGACACAACAAACCATCATAACATAATCCCTCAGAACCACTTTTAATAGTAAACTTGGTTCATCAAGTTCTCTAGATGGGCTAAATTTTTTAATAAGATTTGTGAAAATCATTGGAAGGCATAAATGCAAAAGTTGCAAGGGATCAAGTAGAGAATATGACCCCCATTGCAACAAGAAGGAAAAAAAATTGCATTCCATTTAGCTTTTGTTTTAGGTTTTAGCATTAAGCGTTTCAGTTTTGAATTGAATGGGAGGCTCTTTGAGACAACCTTGGTGTGACAGCTTGTCAAGAAACCCCCATAACTCAAGCTTGAGAAGGTGAGGGAAGAGGATTTTATCTAAACATGGAGCTCTCCGTACTAACCTTGGAGCCCCAAAAAGTCAATAGCCAATCCACTCAAATTCAAGGAGGTGAGGGATGAGAGTTTGTACCAAACATGGGAATCTTCGAGCAACTTAAAGGTGCCAATTAGTTGAGAGTTTGCCAAATCTCATGTTAAAGGAAGTAAGGGAGAGATTATATACCTTCGATATACAGTGCTAGAGCTTCAGGGCATTGTCATACTTGCACACCTTTGATCCTCTCTTTATTAGCTGCTTATCTCTCTTCTGTATTTTTCGAGCACTTTTTTGAGAGGGAGAGGTAAAACTACTTCTAGAACGGTGTTTGGATTCAATAGGTAGTAGTTTTGGGAATCCTTTTACACATGTAGAGAGGAGATAACAAATTTGTTGTTTATATTTATCTTTTTGGACAAATTGTCGATTTTGTGGAGAAACACAAATTATAGACATTAATATTAATCTAAAAGCTATGAATGGTTAAGAGGTTGTATAATTCATTATATGATGTTAAATCAAAAATATTATAAATTACATGCTTTATATTACCAATTTTATAGAATGTAGTATTGTGTCCATGACGTTTTTATAATTATGGTTATGTTGTGTATGTGTCATTATTTCCATGTTCGTGCTTCTTAGGTAAGTTGCATTCCTTATGTAGCTAACAGCTACATGATGGGGCTGTTGCCTAATATGATTGGCTAAACATGCAAATAAACAGGGATGAGTTGCCACATCATCTTTAACCCATTAATCATGCATTATGCATTCTTTCCCTTGGGTACATGATATTGGGTCATTTGATCCATATAAACTCATGAGTTCCCATGTGACTCATTATGCTTATATGATTTTACTTGACACAACCAACTTCATGAGGGAGTTATTTGCCTATTATATATGATTGGCTAAAAATGCAAATCAATTGGGATGAGTTGCCACATCATCATTAACCCATTAATCATGCATTATGCATTCTTTCCCTTGAATACATGATTATGGGTCATTTGATCCATACTGACTCATGAGTTCCCTTGTAACTCATTGTGTTTAAATAATTTTACTTAACCTATCTTATCTTCCTAAGATGCTCACAAAATTTCAATCAGGTCATTCTTGCTAGGCAATCGAAGAGGGCCCAATTCTTGCGTAATATAAGCCTTTAGTTATTCTTTAATTGGCTCATATTATATTTACAACATTGAAGACAACATGTTTAATCTTTCGATCAATTCAACCTAAGTTTATCTAGGTCTTTCCTTTATTCTGGCTTTAGTCTCCACAACTCTGGATTAATTTAATCAACCTAAGCTTAGACTAATTGTTGAAATATCCCTAATTACATCATATTCAATTTACTTAAGGATTGTAGACTTGTAGTAGGCGCATATTTGATCACAGTCTTAGGTTTCGTTTGGGACGGCTTTCTTACTGTTTCTTAAAATAGCTTTCTAACAGCTTCTTAAAATTTTTGTACTAGAAAATTGTTTTAAGAAGCAGTAAGAAAGCTGTCCCAAACAAAACTTTAATGTTAACAAAAATGCTCCCAACAAAGTTAGCATGTGACAAAAATGTTATACATTCATTGCGTCTCTCTATTTGGCTCCTAAGTTCTTATTTGGAGGTCTAGAAGTTTAGCTCTGCTCTTAGGTTTGACAAGCTGAGAATTGATGAGCTCGACTAAATAATCTACTTAGTGAGCTAAGAATGTCAATTGAGAAATCTATCAAGGTGTTTTATTATAACAAAGCTGCCATATTTAGGAAGTCTTCATGTTTTGAATGTGGCGGAATTTATGACAGTTGGTTCAAATCTGTTTCTCTTATTTGTTTCAATTTTTTTTTTTTTTAATTTTGCATTTTAGATAGTTTTTTAATTGTAAATAAGGGCTAGGGTGCTATTAGGATTCAGTTCGCTATCTGTAAATATAAGTTTAGGGTTCATGTATCAAGGCGGAGAAAGAGAAATAAGCTTCAGTTCTTTCTCCCATCTCAACAGTAATTATTTTTATAATCAATACAAAAAGATATAGATTTGATGTTCATCCTTTATGTAATCTACTTCAATTGAAAATAGATACTACTAAAATGCTATGTCCTTGAAGCAGACCTGTAGCCCTTTCTGGTGGAAGCCATGATTCCCATTTTATGGTAGCTTATGCTAGAATGATCTGAAACTCGTTCATTTTTAAACTTAATGCAGATCTAAATATCTAATAAGAACTAGCGTTGCTACGTTTACAATATACCTTCAAATTTCACCTTCTGAAATTATATAGCTTAAATTTCCATTTCTCATTGAAGAACAGGCCGTTTGCTGAACGGTAGAAACTATGGTCATCATTTTGTTATAGAACTAGTAAATGTTCCTGAGGTTTGTCTAGTTGTATATAGTGAAAAAGGTGCCGCAATGGGGCGATAATGAATCAATATTGAGGTTTCGTTTGGGACAGTTTTCTTACTACTTTCTGAAATAATTTTTTAGTATACAAATTTTTTGAACTAGAAATTGCTTTTGAAAGTATTAAAAAAACTTTCACAAACGAAGCCCGAGTGAGCCAGCCTCAAATGGAGGTGATAATGTGCCATTTTCACTTCATTTGCTTAAAACATCATAGATTTCTAATTTTTCTATTCTGCCATTATATAGACTTGTGTTCTCTTTTACCCCCCAAATGCTCCATGCTAAGCTGACATGATTCTTAGCTATACATTCTGAATAGCCCGCATTTACTTGGAGAAATTATTAGGTGCAGATACCAAACGGAGAGAACCGTCTGGTTTTCTCTCTGTCTACAGTGACAGCGCAGTCTAAGTGCAATTATTGTAGCAGCTGTGCTTTCACTGTAGACAAAGAGAAAACTGGATGATTCTCTCCGTCCGGTATCCACACCTAATAATTTGACATTTACTTGAGGATTCCTTACCTTATGATTCTAAAAAACCATATAATTGGATTTTGCAGACCACCTGAACTTCGCGATTCTCCAGCCAGTTGCTGTATAATGTGAGATGAGGAAAAGAAGTAACCTTTGGATATAAAGATGACAACATCATCATATATCGCTTATTTAGTTCTGTGGTTCTACTTGTTATTGCTCAAAACCTTGCAGCAGTGTTTTTAAAACCGGACCGTCCAATTGCCAGTCAGGTTAAGTTGGTGGTAAATAGGATTTGTATTGAACTGGTTTGAACTGTCGGTAAACCGTCGAATATATTTTGATTTGGTTGAATCGATTGATTCAATAAATATTATTTTTTATTTAAATAAAGTTTTTTAGTATCAATTTTTATTTAATTATCTTTTATTTTTAATTTAAAATGTATATTTATGAAAATAAATTTAACTAGGATATAAAACTGCTAGGTTGTCAAATCATGTAATTTTATTTGTTTGTTATTTATAATTTGTGTTTTACACTATAAAAAAATTATTTAAATTTCTTCTATAATGTGAGACTAAAAACTTATAAGAAATTTTCGAGATAGCTAAACTATTAAATTATTTGGGATGTAAATTTAAGTTGAGAATGCATATAATATATTAAAGTTAGGAACATATAAGTATTTTTATATTGTAAAATTTGTATATTATATTATATTAAATATTATATTATTATTCTTATTAGAAATTACATTTATATTTATATACTTATGTTAATAAACTTTTTGAACTTTAAGACCTATTTATTATATAATTATATTTGTAAACCTCTCATCCTTCCGATTTATTATTTGGTCAGATTTTGACAACCTTGCCTCCAAAAAGTTCACTGTAAGAAAAGATGAATATACTCATTTAAATGATTGCAGAATCTTCTTTACACTATCGTTCGATTAATAATAATAATAATAAGGGAGTTTTACATACATACCACTTAATACTATTCTATTTACATATTTAACACCTAAAACTTTAATATTACATAAATACCACCCATAGTTCATTTTCATACAAAATATGAGTGGTAGAAATGAAATATATGAGTGGTAGGAAAGAAATATAAGTGGTATATTTGATATTAAAATAATATAGGGTGGTATGGATGTAATATTAAAGTTTTAGGTGTTAGATATGTAAATAGGATGTTATAAAGTGGCATGTATGTAAATTTCCCTAATAAATAATAACTGCCATTGCGCTTTCTTTGAAAAAAAAAATGAATCTCTGCTAAAAATCCAAGCGAGTCCCCCCTCATCATGCACTACACTTCAGGCATCCCAAGGCCCGAGCCAATGCCTTCCATTGACGAAGCTCTTCGCAAGGAATGGCCGAGCTGCTTTGTAATCGAGCTCTCGCGCCCATGAAGCACTCTGCACATACTCCGCACCAGGACCCCAGCATCTATACACCCCAAAGAACACAGTCCTGCAACAAATTCACAAAAGAAATCATACAGATCCAGAATCTTCAACCTTCCAAAAACCATTTTTGCGCTTACTTTTTCTTGGCTTCATTGTGATCCCAGTCGTCCCATCCACCCTCTGCAACTACATCTTCAAAGTACGTGTAGGCAAAAACGATCCTTGAGTACTTCCCCATTGCTCTCCCCACATAAAGCTTCCCTGTGCCGGTCACTCTACAGCCCACAAAAGCAAATCCAGTAGGCTCGCATGGCGAATGCCTATCCTGTGCGGCGATGGACCCGAACCTGTTTGCAATTGAGTGCAGCCAGCAATTCTGCAGTTCTTTCATTAGCACTTTTGAAGTTTGAACTGAAGAAGATTTTGAAGAAGATAAGCTAATGAGTTTTTACAACCTTGTACATGGATCTTCCATTGCCGAATATGAAGTCAATGGACCCTTCTATGTAACATTCCTTGAAGTAATGGCGGCCAGCGTCATCACAAAGTGTGTCCTGAGCTCCATAGAAGCCGCAGCCAAAGAAGTAGGCCTTGTCGCCGGAGATGCGGAATGCTGCAGCTTGCCATCCCTCCATTCCAGGTAATGGTGCAGGTGCCGAGTTCTGCAACATAGTTAATTAAATTTAAAATCCCATTAGCTAGATTTACAGCCTAGCTGTAAAATTTGAGGAGAGGAAGAACAAGGAAGAAGGAGAAATGGGGGAGCTCCACTGCATTGCTTCAACTGACAGTGCTGGGTTGGTTTCTGGCGCGCCGTGCATTTTAATTAATTTTCAAGTTAGAGAAACTTACCTTGAAGCTGATATTCCTAGCAATGAAATAATTAGCAAAAACAGTTACAGAAGCTGTGTGATACGTCCTGAGCTGCTGGCCATTAGGACCTCTGTCGCTAGCTCTGTCATGCCATTCTATCACTGTATCTTCCTTTCCAGATCCCTGAAACGTTATATAAGGCTTTGTCGCAGGAACAACCACCTTCTCTCTAAACAAGGAAGAAAACAGAGCGGGGAAAGAATTTAATTTAGTTCAAAGCTTTCAACGCCATGATTGCCATTTTCTTTCCTTTTCAAATGACTAACATTCATACATGTAGTAGCCAGAATTGATCTGCAAGATGAAACGCCTGGTATTGTTCTCTGGTATCGAATCGACGGCATCCTGAACTGAGAGGAAGTCGCCGGAGCCGTTTGCATCGACGACGATCACTCGCTGGCCGATCGGTCCAAGCTGTTTGTGGTGGTGGTGGCCTCTGGTAGAGTTGAAATCGCAGCTTAAAGACAGCAGCTTTTGCGACTGAAGTAATAGAAAGACCAAATGGAAGAAGAGAGTTGCCATGGCCTCCATGAAGGGGAAGGAGAGGAGAAAAGAGGAGATTGTATGAGCAGTGAGCAGAAATGGAGAAAAGCAGGATGGCGCTATAAATCTGACTGGCAGAGCAGAAACATCCAATCATTGTTTGTATGTATGCTGAATGCTGGTCGGCCCAACGGTCATGGCTGCTGTATATTTCGCCTATTAACTATTCATCTTATGGCTCATTTAATTATTTCCCTTATATAATTTTTCTTTCTCAAAAAATTTAAAAAGCACTTATATATATTTAGGTTTCGTTTAGGACGGCTTTCTTGTTGCTTCGTAAAGCAGTTTTCTTGTATAAAATTTTAAATTTTTGTACTAAAAAGCTGCTTTATGAAGCAGTAAGAAAGACATCCCAAACGAAGCCTTAATCTCATAACTAATTAAGGCTTCATTTGAGACGGCTTTTGTACAACTTAAAGCACCTTTTAAGTGCAAAAATTTTCACTTATGTACTATAAAAGCTGTTTTAAGAAACTGTAAGAAAGCAGTTGTTTGGGACGACTTTCTTACTGCTTCTTGAAGCGGATTTATAGTGCAAAGATTTAAATTTTTGTACTAAAAAGCTATTTTAAGAAGTAATAAAAAAGTCATCCCAAACAAAGCCTAAGACCTCGTTTGGAACAGTTTTTTTGTTGATTCTTAAAGTAGCTTTCTAAAAAGTCATTTTAAGAAAGAGTAAGAAAATAACCCCAATTGAAGCCTTAGTCTTTTTAAAATTTCATTTGGGACTCTTTTTTTACTGTTTTTTTTTTTTTTAAATTAATTTTTATATTATAAAGCTGTTTTAAAAAGCATAAGTCATCCTAAATAAAATCTAAATTATTATTATTGTTATTAGATTTTTAATGATTTGATGTATTTGAGTAACATATAAAATTTAGGAGAATTTGAATTAAAGGATTATGATTTAAGCTTGGCTATGGACTTTTTAGACATCCAATTTATTTTAAAATGAGTGACAAATTTTAATTAATTAGTTATATATTATATTTATATTAAAATAATTTTAATTAATATAAGACTTAAATTAATTAAAGTTTAATTAGAATATCTTAATACAAAAAAAATTAATTAGAGAAAATTTATGTATTTAATTTTTTGAATAAAATGAGGTGAAATATAAAAGTGCATTTGTCCCTATTTATGGAAATATTGTAATAAAAGATGCTCATATTTGCAAGAATAACAGTTACTTTATTTAACATAGTACAATTTAAAAATTACAAGCGGGGCCTGACTGTATAGAAAGTCTGCTTGTCTGTACAGATTAAGACTTGGTTTGGGACGGTTTTTTTATTGCTTTCTAAAACGGAGTTTTAGTACAATTTTTTTTGACTCATGAGCAAGCTCATATAAAAATACTAATATAAAATACATTTACATTATATTAATATTCAAAATTTTAAATAAAATTTGTTACAAATATTTAAAGTTTTCATGTCAAATTCTTATATAAGGTGATTCTTTAATATTTTTTCTTATTTCTCTTTTTTTATTATTTTATGATAATAATTATTTAAATTATAATTATTTTCTTTATTTCCAAATAAATGAGCTGGTTCTTAAAGTTATTTGAATTTTTAAAATTAAGCTCGAGCTCAAACTCATTTAATTAATCAAACTCAAACTCAAGCTAAGATACTCGAACTTTACATGACTCGACTCATTTACATCCTTAACATCAAGCATTAACCCTAAGATTTTGTTTGGGGCAGCTTTTGACAACTAATTTTTTTGTTGCTTTCAAAAAAAAAATTTAAGCTGAAAAATTATTCTAAAAAGTAACTACTAAAAAATCTATACCAAAAGAAGCATATGCCTTTGATAACTAGTTAAATGTTTACATTATACAGCTTTCGGCAAATTATTGCATCCGGTCACCGACGGGGAGATAGGTTCGGATATTAATAAAATATTATTTTAAATTAAGCACAGGAAAAGCGCAAGTCAAAAGCACAGTCAAAGCGCAGTTAAAAGCGCAGGTGACATGACAAGTTTTTATTGGATGTTCGAACCTATCCTCCGCGTCCGGTGTCCGGATGCAATAATTTGCCCTGAAACATTGACCATAAACGTATATATCTTTCATGGAAATGGGAATCTTCATTCACCATTGTTATATGAAAACTGAGGCAACGGTCACATTGAAAGCATGGCGTTTAGTGTTTTGTAGTGTAGCAGTGGAAAGTTGGGAGTGAGCCGTGCGGTAAAAAGGAGGGGATGATGAGCTGAGCAGGAATTTAAATTCCATTTCTGAACGTTGGTAGGCGTGAAGACAGACAGACAGAGGAGAGGGGAAGACGACGACGACGACGACATTAAGGAAATGGAGCCTACCTTTATGTGGGGATAGCGGTTGTGGTTGGAAAAGCGTTTGTAGGATCCAACGGTACATATCAATCCTTCATAATTTTTTTAAAAAATATTGGTGAGAACATAGAATTCAATTTATTCAATGAAAGAGTTAATTAAGAACTTTTGAGATAGAAGAAAATGATGGAATGCATAGCTAGAAGATATTGTAGGTGTATGAGGACGCCCCAATTGTATGCACTAAGGGTAGCAGTATATTCTTCAAAGAAATTATTATGTGCGGAGTTTAGACAAGAGAACCATTCGGATTTGCGTAGCAGTATATTCTTCAGAGAAATTATTTTTAAGTGCTGAGCAAATACTTAGTAAATATTTAGTAAATGAATAAATACTCAATAAATATTTAGCAAATATTCACAAAATTTATGAATATAGTCAACAAATACTCAGTAAATACTCACAACTGAATATTTGCTGACAGTAAATACTCAACAAAATTCGAATGGTTCTTACGTTTGGACTCTGCATATAATAATTTATCTTTCAAGTGCTAGCCTAGGCGGTTATGAAGATATGTCGTGTCAAAACATAATGACATGGATGATGTTGCTCTGATAAATTATCTTTATTATAAAATTGGCTATTGAATGTGGAATGTGAAACGTGTTGAGACGATAAGGCTGGAGCGGAGATGATAATAAGGGCTAGTCCCTCTATTTGGGTTGGATTTATGATGACATATTGGGCTATTTTATAAATATTTTTCTATAATTTTTTGATTCCAAAATTTGAAGATATAAAAAAAAATTATAAAAATTTTATACTAAAACCTAAACAATTGATATAATTACATAGATACTATTAGCTTATTTTTATTATAATGTCTCAATCTACTACATATGCTTTTCATATGTCATTTTCTCATTCCTTTCTAGTTTTAAATAGATCAGAGAAAAGGATTTTAGGAAGGAGAAGAGATAAGAGAGGAAAGGGAAGTTGGAGTTTGGAGGTCCTAAAGCTATTTTTTTTCTATCGGTACAATTGAAAAAATTATTTATCTCAAGATAGGCTACCATCACCCTATCTTTGATTTCATTGATTTTACTTATTCTGTATTTTCTTAATTTAGTATGATCAGAACCAACAAAAATTGTAATATTTAAATTTTTAGCAAACTTTCATCATATAACTTTTATGTTCTTGTTTTAATCATTTTTCATATATTTATATTTTGAGGAAAATGTCCTAATTGGAGAAATTTAGATAAATGTGAAAATTCAATAAATAAGTGTCTAACCTCATAATACTAGTGTATGACGAGCATTCTTATTACATTGGGTATGTATATGGTGAAAAGAGAGCACTGCACTTTTTTTAATGAATTTTATTAATTTTAGTTTATATCCAAATTTTACATGCATTAATATGATACATTGAGTTGAATATTGAGTATAATATTACTTATTTAATATATTATATATGCTTTGAAATATTTGCATATAAGAAAGCTGATTAGAAATGATTGACTTATTTAGGTTGGTTGGAGACATATTATCTTTTCTTTAAAATAAGATTTATGGTATAATCCTAAATGATATGAATAGGAAGACATAAGAAGACATAATGATATGATATAATGCGCCTATAGGTCTAAAGATACGACTTTTGATATGAAAGCCACCTAACTTAAATAACTTATGATATGACTGATTCCTAAAAATAAGACTGGTATGATTAAGATTGATCTACATGACTGAACATTAAAAACAAAAACCACATATAGCTTGATATCTTATCTTGCTTGTAGCTCTTGCATATATATATAATATGATTTACGTAATATACATGTATAACATAGACACTAAATAGCACGCATAATTAAAATGAAAATTGTACTAATATAATAAGATGATATATAAACTATTTTGTAATTGCTGGGTATATGATTGTTAAAACTTATTGATCATTATCTAATTGGTTACTCATTATTGATTATGAATTTTATTGCTTATATTGATTTCATTACTTATATGATATTAAACTGATCACATTAGTAGTTATATATTTTACAATTATACATTTATACTTATATTAACTTAATGATTATATGCATATTATTTTTAGTGTCTTGCATTAATTCCAGTTATAGATTGTACTAACCTATTGAGTTGTTAGATCATTTAATGGTTTTTACATAATTTCGGGAATAGGATAAGATCTAGTGGAGTGATAACATATCTGGGATTCAAATTTTATTTTATTTCTATATATTTTTTTATTTTATTCTTTTTATAGTCAAGAGCTAAAAGATAGATAAATATATGGATTGAACTTTTGCCTATTATATATGAATTTTGAGGGATAGATGTAGTTTTATATTTTGATGTATATGATTTTTAGTTTCTAAAGCTATATTGATTTATATTAATGAATTCATAGAAGCTCTGACTAATTAATTAAGAGATTAAAATAAGCAATTCTTTCAAAGTTTGATCTTGGGGCATTATAATTGGTATCAAAGTAAATGTTATTGGAAGAGTTGATAAATTACATAATTGACATGACATAATTTATGTAAGTATAAGCTATGATTCATACAAGTATATGATAAGATCGATAAAACTTATATAAATGTATGAATTATATGATTTACATGATATACATGCATAATATATACACTATATGACATGCAAATGAAAATGACAGTTGTACTTAGGGGTGTAAGTGAGCCGAGTTGGCTCGAACTCTACCCGTTAACAAGCTCGCAAGCCGAGCTTATTTAGTGATGAGCTCGAGCTTGACGAGGCTCGGCTTGCGAGCTCGTGAGCCGACTCAAAATTAGTATATTTAGGATATTTTAAAAAACGGTTGGCAACCGGCTTGTAATATGGGATCCAAACGGTTGCTTTTCATGTTAATTCATATAGTTTATTTTCATTGTCTCGTTTCAAGTGAAGATAGCTTTTTATTAATGCAAACTGTCCTTTTTGAAGATGGCAGGCATTCACATGCGGGAAAAAATAAAAAGCTTTCCATTCAGACATTCACAAGCGAGAAAATGAGAATTGGGCGGAAAAAAAAAAATCGGATGTATGAGAAATCGAGCGGTCCGCGAGCCCGCTCGAGCTCGTTTATAGTGGGACGAACTCGAGTTCGAGTTCATCTTTTGAGCTCGAGCTCTCTTTCCGACTAACAAGCTGAGCTCGATAGTGCTAAAACTCGACTTGACTCGACTCGTTTACAACCCCAGGTGTACTGCTGTAATAAGATGTTATTTTGTAAATGCTCAATATAGGATTATCAATATTACTTATCACTGTTTACTTAATTAATAATTACTGATTATGAATTATATTGTTGATATGATATAAAACTGATTGCATTGAGCATCATAATTTTTATTATTATTTGTTCATATTTATATTTACTGAATGATTACATGCTTGTTGTTTCTATTGCCTTACATTAATTTTAGTAATAAGTTCTCATAACCTACTGAGCTATTAGCTAACTTGATGGTTTTTACACGATTCCATGAATGGAATAGGATTCAATGGAGTGAGTTAATATGAGATTCAAGTTTTATTTAGTTTTTTTGCATTTTTTTTTTGTTTTACTCATTTGTAGTCAAGAGCTAAAAGATAGCCAGATGAATGCATGGATTGAACTCTTAGTTATTTATACATTACTTCTGAGGGTTGAATATGATTTTATATTTTGATGTATATGATTTTTAGTTACTTTCGATGGATTGATTTATTTGATGAATTTATAGAAGCTAGATTGATTAATTTGGAGATTAAAATAGAAATTTCTTCGAAAATTTGATCTTAGGGTGTTACTAGTGAGCTCCCTTTACATGAAGTTGGTCCCATCAATGGCTTCCTAAATGAGCATTGTCTTGATACCTTTGCCTAGCTCGAGGTGATTCAAACCAAGGTTTAAACCAAAGTTCAAACAAAGATGAATTATAATCAAAATTGAATCTATTTTTGTAATAGCCCGTATGTTGACTCTGCCAAATATTTTTTCTGGAGTTAATATAAATCCCGCTTCAACATTTCTCCAAGTATTATTCATGATTTTTTTTGTCAATATATTCAAATTACAAACCGTCTTCGTCATAGTAGTGTCATTGTAGAATTTTAATTGCACGATTTTTTTCATAATTTTTGAGCTTATATTGACTTAAAAAAAAATAATATTTGACAGAGCCAACTACGGGTATATATATATATATATATATATATATATCAAGCATATGTGAGTAGCCCGACCACAACAGCTTATCCAGCAAGTGGAGTTGGGCTTTTAGCAATGGGCTTATGCTTTCTTCGAACAGGTTATAAAAGAAACAACCAGCAACCGCTTTCACCACCCATTCCGCGCGGCTACTGTCATCCAGAAGGAGAAATGTTGCCGGTGAAGTCACCATCGCCGGGGGCTCAGCACGTGTCGCTGTATCCTACAAATGTCTTTGTCATCGATCGCTTCTCGCCGAAACAATATCTTATTCGCTGTGGAATTAGGGTTAGGGGATTGTCTTCTTCCTCCGCGAAGACAATTGTAGGAGGAGGGGAGATCCTGCCTAATGCTCTCTACCGACGCAGCTATAAGTCCTGGCGGGCCGGAGGCTTCAGCCTTGGGGTTGACCTTGGCGCTTCCTACACTGGCCTTGCCCTCGGCAAAGGCTTTTGCCCTCGCCCCCTTACAGTAGTTGCTCACAATCCTCCTACTGCTCCTCCCATTCGTCTTTGGCTCTTTGTATACTGGGTTTGATGTAAGCTACTGATCTACGTATAGGTTTTGAATCTTCGGGGGAAGAAACTGGAGATGCACCTTCTCAAAATAGCCGAGATGGAGGTCTCATCTTGGTTTCAGAGTCTCAACTTTCCTAATTCTTGGTTCTTTGGATGCTCTAATTTGCATAACTTTGTGGTCAGGAGGTAGATGAATTCATTATAGGGCTTCCCAAGTCTCATGATGGCAAGGAGACCCAGCAGTCCAACAAAGTTCGTAGCATAGCGGGTAGGATTGCGGTCCAAGCTGCTGAGAGGTATGTTGTTCACGTTTGTTCCTTGCTGTAGGAATTTTTTTCATTGATTGTTTCGTAGATTTTATTTTAAGATGTACAAATAGCCAAGAGTGATGGCTTAAAACAGCCTCAATCTTGAGTAGAGGTGAGGGCTCCAAACTTCTCTTCCCCAATGCAACCCTAAGAAGTTCCATTAGTGTGCATGACTCCAAGAAAAAAGGTCTAATTAAACATTATGTAACTTTGGTTTGAGTATATCAAATGACACTATGGCAGTGTAATGAAAATTGACCTGTTCCTGATATGTGTACTTGAGTGTTATTTGCTTACTTTGCTTTGCTGTAGACTCAATTGATTGAAATTACTGTAGAATTCATCATTTGCTCTCCTTGTTAAACTAATTAAATGATGGCAATTCTTAATTCTTATCACAAACTTTTGAAAACTTATATCAAATTTTGTCACACCCACCACCCTGTTTGAAAGAAAATCACAAAAACTTGATAGGAGAATGCAAGTTAAAAATTAAAAACAATATCAAAAGTAAAGTGTATATGATTCAATATTATTTATCCACTAATTATCAGAGCATTTAAATCAAAGAACACCTACTAATTTATTCATCAAAAGAAATTAAGATTTAACTATTATAATAATTCATCCAAGGTACAAATCGTTGTTAAAATCAACTAATGATCTAACTTTAATCACCGTCCAAATATATACCTCAAGTCTATGAATAATGCATAACTAATAATCTGATAATCATAAAATAATGAGGATGAGTTTGCAAGAAACAAACTCAATAAGTAAAACTTATTAAGTAAACCATAAATTGTAAAATATGAGGCAAATTATGAACAATGGAAATTGTAGAAGTAAAAATGTGAGTTGTACCATAACAATTATAGAAAATATATAAATAAAGATATTCTAATATTAGTAATAGTGCTTATTATTAACAGGGTTCATGCATAATTATCTGTACATACCAATGAACATTGCGTTCAAGTGAGGAAACATCCATTTACAAGCAGAATATACTTATAAACTCATCATGACCCATTAATCATTTATTACTATTATTTATATTTTATATATTTATAGCAGATTTTACTACAACACCCTGAAATTGGAACATATATAAGTTATGTTATAAATGGAAATTATATATTAGTAATTTGTATTCTCTAAATTTTCTCACTTGAATTCATTAGCATATATAGTGTAAGATCCCTATGGTGTTTCTAGCCATCTATGAAGTGGGCAAGCATTCCAATTTACTCATTTCGGAGATATTAGCTTCATGTCATGCATCATATATGTTAATGGAGTTTAAGTCTTTTTGAATATGGACAGCTACTATTACAAAATAATGTAACTAGTGTGATGAAGACACCTTGCTTACATCGACCAAAACCTGTAACATCAACTGCATATTTCTATACTGTTAAAATTTTGTCCATGTGAAACATTACTAACGTGTAGGGCTTAAAAGTTTGATGAAATTTCTTAATTAATTAATTAATTTATTTTGTACTTTTCGTCGTAAGTGTTTTTATCTTTGGCTGGAACTTTGCAGAAGTAGCCTAAAAGTAAGCCATAATTTTAATTTGCCATACTTTTATTCTTTTTATTTCTTGCAAGTTTTACAGAGAACTTTCATTTATACTGAGGCAGCTTCAGTTCCTCACTCGTTTGTGCAGGGGCTGGAGGGTATATCTACAGAATGAGTATGGGACCTCTGTGGAGGCTCTTGACTTTATGATAGAAAGGTGGGCTCTTTTTCATTTTTGTAACATACTACTTTTTTGATGGTTTCGCAGTGACACTACACAAAGAGGTGAGGGTTTTTTTCTCCTAGATTCTCATTGCAATGAAAACTTAGTGTGTTATTCTTCTTCAGTAGAAATATTATGATCTTAATACTATTCTATAGATTGATGCATGCAGAAAACGGATCTTCTATTTGTATATAAAACTAGGCCAACAACCGGTGCCTTTGCACTGGAAAGAATATTAAGCTGAACAATTCATGAAAGCAACATTATTATAAAAAAACAAAGGTATCAAAAGAACTAGCAAAAGCATTATTTAAAATTTTATTGCAATACAAAAGTGCAGATAGATAAAATCAATTTTACATCACTACTAATAAATTAGGCTTTCGTAGCATTTTTTTTAACCTACTGCAACAGTTTAAACACCTATAAAATTATTTGCAGCGATTTAAAAACTGTTGCAAATTTACTGTATTTGTGATTGCTAGAAAGACTTTAGCAAACCGCTGCTATAGGAAAGCTTCAACAGCGTCAGTAGCGCTTTTAGCAGGGGTTAAAACTGCTGCTAAAGGGTAGGATTGATTAAAAAAAATATAGTGCAAAGAATCAATTTTTCTTATCAAATAGAAATATAATGCAATTTAAAAATTCATGTCAGCTACTGGAATTTTTATTGCGTCCTCCCACCTGACGTAGAGATACGTCCTCCCAGAGCTAAAATCGCGCTAAAAAACGAGAAATACCGAGCAATACCAAACAATAACGAGGAATATCATCATGTGAAGACCAATACCGAGTTATACCGAGCTATACCGAGCAATACAAAAAAATACCTAGTTTTTCCTAGAAAAAACTCGGTATTTTTTTGTATTGCTCGGTATTGCTCGATATAGCTCGGTATAACTCGGTAGTGGTCTTCACATGATGATATTCCTCGTTATTATTAAATAATACCTAGCAATACCGAGCAAAAATCAAAATTTTTGAGGACGTATCTCTACGTCAGGTGGGAGGACGCAATAAAAATTCCAGCTTACTGTAAGCACTCCCATACATTTTTAGTGCCCATTAAAACTATGGAGCAGCTTCCTTTGTTTGCACAAGAATATCATTGTAAATGAAAAAAATTTATCAAATAATTGATCTCATCTGAAGGCCTGTCATTAGCATCATCTTCATATTCATGAAAGATAAAACACGCTCTTAACAATTCAGTTCAAATAAATAAATCTACAAAGTAATCAAGCAAGGCTTTTGAGTTGTGATGGAAACTGATCCATTTCAACCATTTCGGATTCCTTTTAAACATAATCATCTTATGATTGATAATCTTTACAAACTGAAGATGCTTGAACCTTCAGACTATAAATGTAATAACAACAATTTATATCTTAATTGATTCTGAAACAGTAACAGACCATGAAATATGTTGAAGTCATTGGAGAATTTGGTCCTCTTGCTTTTGTAATTGGAGAGTAAGCGAAATCGGGACCTCTTGCTCCTTATTTTTACCCAACCTCTCCCAACAGCCACCTAATCTTTTGAATAGTTTAAGTAGCATGTTTTTGGAAGCATTTTCTTCCTGTAGTTGAGTAGAGCATATAAGAAACAATAAATTTTAATTAGAATATGCAAACTATTTAAATAAAAGAAGATATAACTGAAAGGATTGAAGAACTCATCATATATAAGAATGAAAAAATAAGAAAGACAATAATAAAACAAACAGCGGGGAAGAAGAAAAATTGCTCAACACAATAGTACGCAAGATTTAAATTCCTAGCAAGAACCAAGCTGTAAAAAGATTAAAAAAATTCAACTCGTATTTTTATTTCTTTCTCTCAATCAAGCCGGAGCAAGAGCAACAAAATTTTTGTTATTTCTCTCAAACAAGATGGAGGCGATAAGGAAAATGACATCACGACAGAAGAGGGTAAAGATTGTTATCTTGGTTGGCGAATTGTGAATCAGGCGATGAAATGTTGGTCTGTTGCTTCAAATTGCGGAACAGTACAAGCAGAGATCTGATCGTAGAGTGGAAGACGCAACCGAAAAACTAGCCCACAGGCGATTTTGCAGGGCAACATAAAGGTGCAAAACTTGTAGGGCTAGAAAAAAACGGGCCACCTCCATAGAGAAAAAAAAAAATAGAGCAATTGCAAGCTTGGAGGTGACAAACCAGGTGAAGTAAAGCAACATTGTTTCTTGCTGGAAGGCGGAGACAGACTTTTTTTCTTGTCGGAAGCGGCGAAGGAGAAGAAGCTGAATCTACAAGCTTTTCCGGCTTTGTCTTCCGGCGTTAGCAAGGGTAGAGGAGAAATAAAGGATTTTGCCTTTGAGAGCGATTTCGCTGTCGGAGGAGAATGAGGCGTGCCAGCGAGACTGATGTCCGAGAGGGAGTTAGGGCACGACACGAGAGGAAGAGGATAAATCGTGAGATATTAAGAAAGGTTGCTTTAAAAATAGTTTTTGCTGCGGTAAAGTGATGTTATTTAATGTTGCAAAAATATTAATTTTTTAGTAATAAATTTAGCAGCGGTGAAAATCACTGCTTATATCTATCTATAGCAGTGGTTTACAAACCGCCAATATGAACTGCTGCGAGAACATTAAATTTTTGGTACTGCTACAATCAGGTAACTAAGGATGAATAATTTAATAATGTGGGCTTCATAAATTCATGCTTGACTATTTTGAGAGAGTTTAGTATTCTGATGAAATTTTCATAAGGCATATTAGATTCTAAATTAGGCAGTACCTAGAGAGTTCCCCTCAATTTCTTAGGATTTTATGATATGGTTTAGGTTTCCCATAGATTCAATAAATGCAAGCTCCCGTGGTTAATTACCCCTCTCAATGACAAGAGGAAATTTTTGATTAAGGCTAGTCATTAGATGATAATCGTTTAATGTATAGTAACAACAAATTTGGCTTAGGATATAAAAATTTACCATTGTAAATTTAAAATGGATGGTGGGGAAATGATGATGAATTCAATCAATATCTTATGATTTTGTTGTCCTAGATTGTCATGAATCTTAGTTAGTAGAGGTAGTGACCCAATCTAATCAAAGGATATTGATGGCAGTTATGAGTTGCTTCTTATGAGGGGATTTTATAGACGAAGAAAAATGTAGAAGAAATCAATCCGTTTACTGATAACCTGATTGTACAAATTTGAGTTTTATCAACCAAAATCAATTCACTAAGTTAAACTTAGGCAAGAATAAAGTAGAAGAAAATAAATCAGCATAAAAAAGTCTCACATTTGTGTAAGGAGATAATCTCTCTTGAAAATCTTCAAATCTCTCACTTGGAGTTAATTCCAAGTAGAAGTAACAGTACGTCTACCTTGTACCTTATTCATAAGGAATTTAATTGTGTTTGTGCATATCTCAGAGTCTTATTTACAGTCACAAAACCCTCTTCAGAGTCACTATCCATTGCTCTTAGCAAAATGGAAATCACTGAGTGACTCCTTACAGCTATAGACTGCTGGAATAGAGAAGCCAGAGCATTTTCAAAGGCCACAAAGACTGAGAATGCCCGTACAAATCTTGTCAGGATAACATCCTAGGCATTTACATACATAGTAATTTTACTAAAATTAGAAGTCTTTCTAACCGTTCGTCAGCGCACACAATTTAGGTTTTGAATGATTGAAGACTTTGAGATTTAGATCATCTTAAGGTACTTATATGCTTAAAAAAAAGGGTAAAACTGAAACTTTGGGACATCCCTGAGTGTGTATAACCATATGGTAGAACTAGTAGGTTACTATTTAATCAACCTAACTGCTACTTATATTTTCACTATTTCGATCAAATAATTACATCATGAGATGCTATATTCTGTGTTTATGTTCATTGTCCAGAAGCTTTCTGTGGGTGTATGAAATAACAAAATGTGTAGCCATTAAGGTTTGATAATGCACAATGCATTATTCTGATTATGAAGTGTGAACTAGAAAGGGATTAAATTTAGGCTTCGTTTGGGACGGCTTTTTTAGTGCTTCTTAAAGTACTTTTCTAATACACAAATTAAAAAAAAAAAAACTGTTTCTTAAAGCAGCTTTCTAATACAAAAAATTTAATTTTTGATTTTTTGTATTAGAAAGCTGCTTTAAGAAACAGTAAAAAAGCCGTAGGCTTTGTTCGGGACGGCTTTCTTCCTGCTTCTTAAAGCGGCTTTCTAGTACAAATATTAAAATATTTATACTAAAAAGCTGCTTTAAGAAGCATGAAGAAAGTCATCTCAAACGAAGCTTTAGTCTAATGCATCAATGATCAAAATTCATTTTCAGCGAAAAAGCGCCAATCATTGGATCAAGCTCAATCTCTTACATACTTCAAGATGACCTCGATAGAGCTTAAAAAATGGACCATATTATATTTGCTTTTCCCCTTTATTGGTTTGGATGCTCAGAGAAAAAGCTGAAGGCTGGGGCTTGTCATGTTTCCATTTTCACTTGCTGCAATGCATTTGTTAAGCGCATGTAAAGGAGTCCCTATTAATTGGATTATTTCTTTATCAATTTGTTTTTTTATTTATTTCAGGAGATTAAAGAGATCTGTTCGCCAAGGTCGAATTGATGCCTATTCTGCTTTGGTAAGCAAAAGATGGTAAATTCATGTAACATTCTGTAAGTTTTTTTTTTCATTCTAAATTCGTTTATCGTTGGCTCTGGAAAATGATGAAGAGATGGGAATGAGCTTAATATTCTTGGATTTATTTTAAAATGAGTATAATATAAGAATTGATTGTTTAGCTATGGAACGTGCTAATTTCAACGTAAATCCAACCATTTTAAAATCCATTAAGACTAAAGCTTCGTTTGGAACAGCTTTCTTATTGCTTCTCAAAGCAGTTTTCTAGTATAAAAATTTTAAAGTTGCTTTGAGAATCAATAAAAAAGCTGTCCCAAACGAAGCTTAAAATCTTGATCAAAATTTCTCCATTTACTCATTCAGATGCTACTGGAGAGATACTTCTCAACATCAGGCAGTGAAGCTGAATTAGTGCTTCCAAAGCAATTGGATTTGCAAGAAAAGCTCAGAAGAGGTTCCTACCAAGATAATCTTGAATTCTAGCAAGAAATAAACCTGGTAAGGGCTTAAGAGCTATCAGGCTGTATATACTTACTAACCTTGAAATGACTTAATTGTTGAAATGCCGAAAAATTCCTGACATTGAAGTTTGATTTAATTACATCATCTGCCATTGGCAAAAATTTTGCTCAGCTAATATATCACTTCTCTTTTTGAAATTCTCTGCAGATAGATTTTACTGGACATCTGAGGATTGCTAATGGAGAAACAGCTGATTGATTTCTTTGCTAGCATTTTGGATTGGATATAGTAAGGATTTTTGTTTTAGTTTATTTTTTTAGACAAATTAGCAGTACCTTTATCTAGAGCTTACAATAGGAAAATATATCAATAAGAATTAATCATAAAAAATTGATAAATATATTTTAAAAAATGAAGTTAAAGTAAGGTATATAAAAGCTGTATGATATTTCAAATAGGTGGAGCATATTGGCTTCAGAGCAACTATTTAAATTGTAAGTTGAGCAATTACCTTAAATCTAGGCATAAACATTCCAGTATGTAGACATAAAAAAGTTGATTATAGGCAAATCTACTTCAAATAATAAAAACAAGGGTTGCTTTCTTTCTGCTTTTTAGGCTTCGTTTGGGACAACATTGTTACTGTTTCTTAAAACAGCATTTTATAGAATGAAAGCAAAGGTAAAAATGCACATTTTTTTAAAGTTTTTTATTAAAAAAAAAAGTCTCCTTATTTATTTTTAAAAGCACATTATTCATTTAAAATAAATAAAATTAACCCATAGAAATATAAAATTCTTTCTCCTCCCAAAATTCAACAATATTTATCCCCTTCAATTTCTTTGAAATTAATTGCAAACAATATTTTGCAGAACATCAAAGTTTTTTAAAAGAATGCTCTAACAATTGCAATCAATATTTGATATAAAATTTAGGCTTCATTTTGGTCGGATTTTATATTGCTTCTTAAAGCAGTTTTCTAGCATAAAATTTTATTTGTTGTAATAAAAAACTGTTTTAAGAAGCAGTAAGAAAGTTGTCTCAAACAAAGTCTTAACATTTAAAATATATTACAGGTAGAAGATTACAAAAAAAGATTGAGGAATATATTGATGACAATTTTTGTTTGCAGCGTGATTAAGGAATTCAACATTGTACGTCAATAGGATAGTGATGGCAGTTGATGAGATAATGATAACGGCATTGGAGGCAATTGTCGGCGGTGGCTTCTTGTCATTTTTGTTTTTAAAAACATCAAAAAAGTTACTTTGAATGTTTTTTAAAATTTCCTAAATTAATTGAGTTTTCATTGCTATTTAGCTCATGAGATCAATTGCATGATTTTAGATCTAGAAAAAAATTTCTTTTATAAATTCCTAACTTTGTGCCTTGTAACTATAAATTCAAAAACAAACTTCATTGGCATTTGGCAAAACTTCCATGTATAGCTAGCTACTCAAAGCTTGCTATGCAGAAGTTCATAGAATCCAGATGATTGATAACAATATTACCATAATTTGACACAAACAACAATCTTTCTTTGATGATTTCAAATACTAAAAAAAAGGAATTAGATATTGCTAAATCTTCTTTTTGGATCATTTGAGCCAAACAACATGAAATATAGCTAGAAATTATGTGTTTTGGGCTCTTTTCAGAAGCAGCAGCAAACTCAATTTTTTTTGGGTTTTTAAAGGACTGTTAGGAGCTATGAAACATTTTGATGTTAATTGATGTGCTTAATCTAATAAATTGACAAGCCTGAAAAATAATCACTAAACCACCAGCCCTGAAGGAAAAAAAAAAAAACCCAACAATCACATGAAAGCACTGCATGTATGTTGTAATCCCTTTATCATGAACTTCCATTCCTTTCTGCATTTGAGTCCCATTCCAATAAGCATTGAATTCTTTATTTGAAGCATGCAAAGTCACACGTGATGACTCTACGGTTTTATTTGAGATAGTTTTCTTCTTATAGCAGTTTTTTAGTACAAAATTTTTATTTTTTGTATAAGAAGCAGTAAAAAAGCCATCCCAAATGAAACCCCAATATCATCTCTTATTAGGAAAGTAATTGGGGTGAAGTAATAAATCTTTTCGAGCATCATGTTTTAGTTTGTTAATCCTACCAAAATAACAAACTTTGTGTATTTTGAGTGTCAAGTTATAGAGCATAATTTTTGCTATATAAAGAAAGCCAGCTATACATATCTAGTGTCAATTTGGGTCAACGGGTCAGGTTCGAATCCAACCCAACTTGACCCGGGCATAAATAGGTTGACATGAACCTGATCCATTTAATTAGACGTGTTTGGATATACAACTTGGACCAAATACACGCAGGTTACCGGGTTGACCCGACCTGATTCGTGAGCTCGAATTGATCTGGATATCCTTCCTCGACGCAGATGTTGAGTCGTGCCATGTAGGGCTTAAGTCAGGGCGAGCAGGCATTGAGTCGTGCCGTGCCGTAGGTTGGACTCTGGAGGAGACGGGAGCCGAGATGCAGGGCAATAAACCGGTGAGGTCGAGGGTGGAGGCGTCAGGATGGCTGGGCGCAGTCATGTGGGTTTTCGAGTCAATTAGAACCCGACACGTTTTTCATATAGGTCAAAAATTCGAACCCGGTCCGACCCATTTTGCAAATAGGTTGACCTGAATCTGATTTTTTCTCGGACCCGTCCGAGTCAAGTTTTGAATAGTGTCAACTTTTGACCGGGGGGGGGGGGGATGTAAGATAGAAATTATGATTATATTTTCTCCACGATCTAAACAAGTATAGATTTAAGGTGGGCATGTGGGTTCACGTGCTTCCCCTTCATTTTTTAATGTGTGAGCACGATTCCAACAACTTCAAAATGCCAAAAACCATAGGTTTGAATTGGTTTGGGTTTGGTTGGATTGACCACTCTAGGGGATTGTGAGCGTCAATAGCCGTCGCTAACCTTTGATGGGTGGTTGGATGAGCCTCCCTGAAAGGTCCCGTCGCATTCATTCTATCAGTGGTGTCTGGTCGTCGAGGTTAGTTTAGTACTGTACAACTCACTTAAGAAATTTCCGACTTTTCAAAGTTGTTGTGACCTCTATAGATGTTCATTTAGTTAATTTTTTTGCACGAATAATTGCTCTCAATGAGGCAGATTTTAAATTTTGAGCAACCCTTCTCAAAATTATTTTAGTCAATCCCATCATTGAAATTTTAATTTGTCGCCTTTATTGGACTTATGGCATCAAAATCCATATGATATGTTAGGATCTTCAATGAGAAAGAAACACTTCCTTCTTGAGCTTTTTGGGGGAGGAGGGTGTGAGGGAAGGGGGGAGGGATAGAGCTAAATTCAAATTCTTTATTTTTTAAACATATAATATTACTGTATATAGCTTATTTATCGGCAACAAATGGCAAAATAAAAAGCTACACAAGGAGAAACAACCTAAATGTTGGACCAATACCCAACAATCTCCACCTTGGTCCTAGATTTATACAACAAAAAAAAAATATCTAATGTCCACAAAGAATAGCCCTGTCGGTCTTCCCTACCAATAACATCTATCGGACGGTTAACAACTCCTCAAGAACTGCACCACCATCTTCTTGAGTTTCCTGCTTCACAAGGCCCTAGCTCACACGTACCTGCATCACTTCTTCAGCATGTCTAGCCACAATCCCGTGCCCCATGCCTACACCCTGTGCCTCTCGCCTCGCGCCTGTGCACATGTGGTCTGAATTCGACCACACCCTGCACATATCCACCTGCGCACCGAGCCCTACATTATGCTAGCACCTTGCTCGTCTCAATGCGACTCACACATCCACCCGAGCCTGCCGATATGCCTGCTTCCATTGTACGTCGTATGTAGTGCCTCCGCTGATTTGACCTGCATGGCATCATGCCATGCCTGTGAATACCTCCCATGCCTGATTTCTTGATCAATAATGTACTTCTTCTTGATTCCGAAAATGACATATATGGAGCACCACATAGCTCACACAGGATCCATCTCCAAGCTTTGGACTTCACATTCTACGTGCAATCTGATCTAAAATCTTGCATATCTTCCTGTTGTGCCAAAACCCATGCCTGACCAGAACCCCTCGACCGACCATGTCTTATGCACAGTATACACCCATCGTCGAAGCCGCCTCCACCTTCTATGGTCATCCCAAGCCCAGACCTTCATCATATGGTCTACAAATTCCACCTCGATGATCGCACCCTGGAAACGACCCAACTAGCCACCCACGAGCCCACTTAGACTTCTGCTACTGAGCCGCACACACACAAGTCTGATTCAACCCATTCAACTTCTTCATCGTGTACCAGCCGTGTCTGATCCTGAACAACACCTTCCGCCATTCTCTGTCTAGGCCCGCGTGCCCCGCTTGCTATGGCTCACAGCACGCGCCTCGTGCTGCCTCCGTTACATGTGCGAACAATCGTGTGTTGCCAGTATGTCCCACACTCAGACCTCATGTCTGCCTCATATGAACAAATCCTCGTGAAAACGTACGTCAACGACACCAGCAACCACCACCTGCTCCTTTTCTTGGACAATAACACCTTCCTTCTTCCTCCTTCAACTCAGGAAGCATTCGCGACCACCCTTCTTTCTCCATTCTGAGAAAGCCAAATGTCGCGAGCTCTTTTTTCTCCACATCCACCTCCTCATTTTTTTTAGAGAAGAAAACTTTATCTACCTCCACCTTGCTCAGTTGCCTTCACCAGGCTCTAATACTAGATGCTAAATCTTGAAAGAGAGGAAGAAGCACTTCCTTTTTGTTTCAAGAGAGAGGAGGGAGAGAGGAAATGGGAAAGGAAGAGAGTTGAACTCAAATGCTTTATTTTTTAATCATATCCTATTATAGCCTATAGCCAATTTATAGGCAACAAATTGCAACATAAAAAACTACCTAAATTTTAGGTTTACTTCTACCTTTCTTAACATAGGTTAAATCTAATACATCTACTCTCCTAATTGGGTCATCAGAAGGCTGCCGTTTTATATGACCAAATAATCTAAGGAGACTTTAATCTTATCTGCCACTAGAGCTACTCCAACCTTTCCACGTATATGCTTATTTCATATCATGTCTCTAAGAGTAAAGCCGCTCATTATTATTGATAAACACAAGAAATATTTGGACATATTCTGGATGATGATCATAATATCCCACTCAACATCTATAAATAAATGTCAATTCAATTCATTTCAGACATCCTAAACTTTTGAATCATAGAAGAAATCTTAAACTCTAATCGACATCTAAGTTATTATTGACCTCCTTAGATTAAGGGTGTCAATTCAAGTTGGTGGCCGGGTCGAGTCTAACCACAAGTTGACCAAGCCCAAGTATGCTTGACTAGAGTCTAACTCATTTATTATATAGGTCAATGTATTTGACCTGAATCCGACCTACATGAAACACACTTAACCTGAACGCATCTTATTTAACCCATTTATCATGCAGAGCATATAAATTTTCTAAATCAACACCCCGTTTAACCTGAATCCGACCCATTTAACTCAAACCTAAATAATTGTATCAATTTTGAAGTATGATATGTGATTGCTTCTAAAGATTCCTGAAAGTCTTTTCATTACTACAAATCATAATCAAATTCTTATACTATTTTGAAGGCAAACTGAACTAACTGATCCAATATAGCATCACTCCACCAGAACATGGAAATATATCAAGTAAGAAACAAACATCAATGGCAGCACACTGCACACTACAGCATTAATAGCTTATGGGCTAATTAATTTTTCCATTGATTGTTTCCTTGTCAGATCCTAAGAAGACTTCTATGTAAGCATCAGGTGCTCTCATAGCATATGGAACAGCTAAAGAATCTAATCATATTACAAACTTATGATCTGTTTGATATGACTATAGCTTTTTATAAAGGTGATTATAAAATTATTGCGGAGAAAATAACTTTTTAAAAGGCTAGTGTAGAAAGCAGCATTCTAGCACATACATTTTTTAAACACAACAAAAAAATAAGTGTCAAACATAAAATATGGTTCCAATCTAAAAAACAAAGCAGCAAGAAAACTGACCCAAAAGAAGTCGTACTAATCATCTTATTAAGGTTTCATTTAGGACGACTTTCGTTCTGCTAAGTTGTTTTCTAGTAAAAAATTAAATATACTAGAAAATTGCTTTAAGAATTAATAAGAAAGTCGTCCCAAACAAAGCCTTAGGGTTCGTAGGCTTTGTTTGGGACGGCTTTTTTAGTGCTTCTTAAAATAGTTTTTTAGCATAAAATTAAATTTTTTGCACTATAAATTTGTTTAAGATGCATTAAGAAAGCCGCCCCAAACGAAGCATCAATCAATTGTTTTACCTCCAAAAATCCCCTCTCTCTCTCTCTCTCTCTCTCTCTCTCATTAATCTTATTCTTTTTATTTTCCTATTAGGGTTCAACATAACTAAATTCCATCACCAACAGCAAAAATTTGAAAAATATTTGAATTATGAAGCAATGTAGCAGTATCCAAATAACCTAATTCATTATAAAATGTTGAACCTTTAAGCCGGCCAATTTCTATACCAACCAGCCCAGGCGGATACAAGACCGCTGATCCCGAGCGTCACAGCGTGGTTGCAGAATGGATTGGGCTCGATATCAGCAATCGCGATGATCAAATCGGCGAGGTTGGCGGCAATGCCCATCAGTCTCATCACCCTATCAATCCTAATCGCCTTCTCCTTCTTCTCTGCCTCTCCCCGATCTGTTTTTTGGGAAATCAGCCTCGTTTGTTCAAACAAGCCCTTGCGGATGGCGATGAGATCGAGAAGAATGAAGAAAACGTAGCCAAAGGACTCGCCGAAAGCGGAGACAAAGCTGAAGCGCGTGGCGAGAGAAGGGTCGAGGACGCCGGCGCGGGCGAGCCAGAGGAAATGGTCGAAGAAGAAGTAAACCATCTCGCCGGCGTTGGCGAAGACGGAGAGAGGAGTGGTGCCCGGAGCGCGGCGAAGTGCGTTGAAGCCGGAGAGGAAGCGGCCGGATCGGAAGGCTTTGCGACTGAGACCGGAAGCCACTTCCCAGAGCTTGGCGCGGCGGGCTAGATCAGGGTGGACGGGTTCGGCACGGTAGTGGACGAGCTTGGAGACGTATTGGATGGTTTTGACAAACTTGTCGATCCCATCGCGCTTTGCGAGGAAAATGACGAGCTTGTCGACGGTGTCGTCGTGCGGGCTCATGGTGGTCCGGCGACGGTTTGGATAAGGGGGAAGGGTGGCGGGGAAGACTGCGGTTGGATTTTGAGGCTTTTTTTATAGGATAAATGCTGACAAGGAAATAACGAACTGGCTGGCTGAGAAAAATTGCGGAATTGGGACTGTGAGATAATGTGGGGTTGAACCGGACCGTTCATCACTTTGAGCCACGCGCTCTATCTTTTGAAGCTCTCCAATAAAAGATAATATATTATATTTGTTAATTGCTTGTTTAAATTAAATACCAATGGAATTGATTCAAATGGATTTGAATAGAGTTTACATATGATTCGAATGCTGTTCAAATTTGATTCAACCATTGCTCGAATTTGATTCAAATAGTGCTTGAATGGTAGTTCTCTCCACCACACATGCTGCCAATTTTGTCAATCGAGCTCCATTGTGAAGTTCACTTCTCCTTCAGACGTACTAGTCTCATCTTTGCCTTCCCAACAAGCTCCATTGCGTACAAACCCTTTGAGAACTCCGCTTTTACTTTATACATATTAGCCCCACCTGTTATAAACTGAATTGGCTATGGTTTAGATATGAACCGAAGCTACAACAATGCAAACCACCGAGCAGCTCTTCTGCATGAAACTCGGTCAAAGTACCTCACGCTCCTGCCGTCTCCAACCACATGAACCCCCTCCAAATCTAGTAATTTTTGCAATTTACTAGCTCCTTTTTATTCTCCTACCCTCAACACCTCTCTCTCATCGTTTAAGGCAAAATAGAAACAGAGGGCATTATTCCCTAGGCTCCTTCTCACCCCCTAAGCTTAGCCGATGAATCTCTCTTCTCACCCTTCCTCTTTGATTTTTCCTCCTATTGTCATCATTAGAGAAGATCCTTGTCCTTCACCCTGCGTCGATATCACTCTTCTTATCACCATTGTTGGGAGAGGTTCCCTCTTTCCTCTCTTGTTGGATTGAAGATTAGCCAAGAGTTTTCCTACTTTCTCTTTCAATTGAAGCCAGAAAAAGAAAAGAATATTCTATTTTGTAAGCCTCTTGATTTTTTTCACTTGGTTCCATTCATAATATTGCATATGGCTTAGATCAATTGAATAACAACTTTGATGTATCAAATTATGTGTTTACAATTGTTTTTACTACTTGTAGGACTTTCTTTAGATGGAGTAGGACGAACTGAGTTTTATTTGGGAAATTGTGTTGATCATTGTAAGTAATTGTTATTTATTAAGGGATAAATGTACACTTCTTTGTTAGGGGTGTTATCATTGTTTATGGTGTCAGGCTTCTAGATATTAGGTTGTCAATCCTATTTTCAATATTTATTTATTAATTTTGTGCATGTTAGGAATCTTATTTATTGCTCATAATGAAAGTTTCATATAGTAGAAATAACATAACATTGATATATTGATGCATGAGCTTTTATCATTTAATATAATTCTTGCTATAAAAAATTTAATTCATACATATTTGTTCTATTTGAATGCATTAAATCATATTCCTGGTGTAAATCATGTTTGTTATAAATTTTATTATTAAGATGTTGATTTATATAATACATGTTGGTTATTTGTAAAATCACATGCACTATATGATTGTTTGTAAGTTAGTAAAATCCTATCAGATTTTGGCTAGCTGAGCCGATGGGCCCTAAGATTGACGAATATACTGAAAATCATTAGATTTCCTTGGGTTGGTGCTTACCTTCTAGATGATGGGTATTTAAAAAATTGACTATATAATTATATACATATAAATATATAAATATATTAATGGATATGAATTGAAAATAATTAAGGACTTATAAGTCATTTTGAGGTATGATGATACCTAGTGTGATTACATTTATAAGCATTAAAATTATTTGACACTAATAGTAGTTTGACATATACACTTATAGTCCTAACATAATTGAATTTGTTATAAGAATCATGACATGTGATATGATTGCCACTCCTACTTATTGATTAGTCATAATGCATGCACTATTTTTTTTTGCTATTTATGCTTTAATAGATAAAAATTATTGAATTTGATTTGTCAAACTCACTCATTATTACCTTTTTATATCAAATCCTATCGAAATATTTAGTGGGTCATCACCACAAGAGCCAAGCTATTAGCAGTAGTGTAATAACCAAAAATTTAAAAAATAAATTTATTTGAAAAATATGAAAATCTAAATCCAGCATGCAGTGCTAGGAACCACCGACTTGACATCGCAGTCTTTGTTCTACAATAACTTTGGGTTCAACATGCAGTGCAGCGTTGTTAAAAAGTTAGGCGCCACGATGCTAGGCATGGAATGATGTTTTTAATACATTTAATATAAATGAAAGTATCATGTAGTAGAAATAACATAACGTTGATTTATTGATGCATGAGCTTTAGCATTTAATATAATTCTTTCTATAGAAAATTTAATTTATACATATTAGTTCTATTTAAATATAGTAATTGATGGCGCCACGATGCTAGGCATGGAATGATGTTTTTAATACATTTAATATAAATGAAAGTATCATGTAGTAGAAATAACATAACGTTGATTTATTGATGCATGAGCTTTAGCATTTAATATAATTCTTTCTATAGAAAATTTAATTTATACATATTAGTTCTATTTAAATATAGTAATTGATGCTCCTACTGTAAATCATGTTGGTTATAAAATTTGTTATCGACATGTTGATTTATATAATACAAGTTAGTTATTTGTAAAAGCACATGCACTGTATGATTGTTTGTAGGTCAGTAAAATTCTATTAGATTTTGGTTAGCCGAGTCGACATGCCCTCAGATTGACGACTCTATTAAAAATTATTATATTAACTTGGATTGATGTTTACCTTCTTGATGATGGGTATTTGAGAAACTGTCTATAATTATATACATATAAATATATTAATGGATATGAATTAAAAATAATGAATGACTTATATGTCATTTTGAGGTACGATGATACCTAGTGTGATTACATTTATAAGCATTAAAATTATTTGGTATTAATAGTAGTTTGGCATATACACTTATAACATTAGCATACTTGAATCTTTTATAGGAATCATGACATGTGGCATTAGGGGTGTCAATATTTGACACGACACGACAACCCGACCCGGACCCGACCCGGAAAATCGGGTTCGGGTTTGCAGATTCGACCCGTTTGATTAAACGGGTTGGGTCGGGTTGACCCGGCGGGTTGCCGGGTCAACCCGAAAACCCGTTTAATTTAAAAAAAATTGAATTTCCCGCTGCTCCCGCCCGCTGCCCGCCGCGCTGCCCGCTGCCCAAG